CCTCCCTGGTCCTGCTGGCCACACTATTCCTGATACAAGCCAGGATGCCATTGGCCCTCTTGGCCACCTGAGCACACTGCTGGCTCATGTTCAGCTGGCTGTCAACCAACACCCCCAGGTCCTTTTCCGCCAGGCAGCTCTCCAGCCACTCCTCCCCCAGCCTGTAGTGTTGCATGGGGTTGTTGTGACCCAAGTGCAGGACCCAGCACTGAGCCTTGTTGAACCTGTTACTTTCTTTGAAGTAGTTTACGACAGAGATCTTGACTTAGATTTGAGGAATTAGTTTTCTTTGCTTACAGAAGAAAGTCAAAAGTATTATTTCAAATATTTATTAAATTAATTGAGTCTGTCTTTGTAGGAAATAATAATTTTCTTTTTTTAGTCTGTTTGCAAAGTCCCTATGCCTTGTCTAGTTTAACTGCTTAAGTTCTACTTAAAAAAAAAAAAAAGCCAAGCATCTTTTTGGTAACATTAATCATGATTACAAATCATGCTTTTCTGTCTTCCTGCCTATGTTAAAGTTATGCAGATCCTGCCTTTGTTTCAGAAGGCAGAAGGGCTTTGAAGAGATTTGCTGCTTAATATGCATGGCTATTTCAAATATCTTTTTTTTTTTTTTTTTTTTTTTTTAAGTTTTCCTGTGAATGTAAAGTTTTAAATACATCTGTATAGTTAGACTGTGGGAGTACATTGGAAGCAATTTTTGGTTTAGTTGCCATTAATTTATATAGAATCAAAACATTGTTGCTCTTTTTTTCAGACCTTGTGAAATATCATTTAACATATTAACTACTATTTGTCCTATAAATAATGATACTTCATTTCTGAAAGTTACCAGGGTGTGCCATTCCCACCATGCCGTTTAGTAGTATATCTCTGTTCCTAAAAAAAGAAGAAAAAAAATGCTTACTGGATTTAAAAACATTAGGAAAATGCTGAGGCAGATAAATCTGTTTCAAATATAAAGCAACTCTCTTTTCCCTATTTAACGCTTTACAAAAGTCGCATCATTTTTTGTATCTACAGATACAATGTTCTGTCCTCGAGTGAGGTTAAATTATACTCAAACTCTCTATGAACTGAACTTCATGTTGGGTGTGTGAGGAATGTGACCTAGAATTCCAGCTCCACTTTTGACAGCTCATTGCCTTCCATGAATTGGCAGTTGCTTTCTGTAGTTGGCCCTGAGCAGGATGCATTGGAAGTGAGTCATTTTCCAAACCATGCAGATAGGTATCTTTTCTGGGTTTGTTTTGGTTTTCTTTCAAAGTTCTTTAATTTCTGCTTTTGTTTGTTCTGCTGACAACTTACTATTCACCGAAAAACAGGGTTTTTTAGATTTGTAAGTCTTAAGGCTGTCTTGAGAAGAGGGTATGTATGATCTGGGTTCTAGGTTTCCTACTGTAGCAGTGAGATCATAAACATATAATCTAAAGTGACCACAATACCCACTAGGTTAAAATTAGTACTTTAAGGAAAGCTGTCTTTCTGTTCAAAATTTTGCACCTTGGTTTCTATGCAGCTGGCCCTCAAGTGTATGCTATCAATATTTGATGGGGGTTTGTTTTTTGTTTTTTTAAAAGTTAAGTTTAGAGCAAACTTGCCAATCCTGTTCATTTTTTAGTACATCACTAGATGGGAAAGTTAATGCATATTGCAAAAATATCAACTAAAGAAACATCATGACAGGTATGGGTTGTAAAAGGCAGTTTCTGTCATATGGCAGACAGGTAATCAGTTGTTTTTTGAAGGGGTAACTAATTTAATGCCACTGAAAAGGGAGTGGGTACTGGGAATAACCAGCCTGGGAGAGGGAATTAAAACAATAGCTGATACATCTTCTGTTATTGAAAGGATGGACAAATAGATGCTGATGAGCTACAGAGATGTCTCACCCAGTCAGGGATTGCAGGAGCGTATAAACGTAAGTTAATGATTTAAATAAACAAAAAAAAAACACCCCAAACCTAAAGCATACTAATTCTTATGCCATCTACTAGAAAACGCTTGTCAAGGTGCCTTCTGCAGAGGTTTTGGGGTTTTTTTTTTAGTATTTGCACGGTGAAAGGGCTTTCTTTCCTTATGGACTACTTTGAAACGTAAATTCTCTGTATTCAGTTCTGTGCATGTAAGACTTCCCTTCTCAGCCTCCTTAGTGCCCCACTGCGAAGTTGTGGAGCTGGAGAAGTGTCTTGTTTTGTAATGGACAGCCCATTCTTAAAAGGTGTCTTGCTTTGTTTTTAAAATGAGGTTTGATATTGACCAAAAAATTCCCTGGCAGGACTCATTTGTCAGGATACCTAGTGTTCAGTTTACAAAATAGAGCTTTTGTGAGTAAAACTCGCTTCCTCAAGTGGTGTCCGTGGTGAAGCATAAATGACTACTTTGATGAAACCCAAAACCTTTATGGACTGAGATAAGAGCAGATTAGTTTTAAATATAACTTGAATTGCCTCCAGATTGTCTGCTGTCAGTTTTTCTAACAAGTAATGATTAAAAGCACTTACTTGGATCAAAATACGGTATGGCTGTATACAGCAGAAGCAATTATATAATATTTTATGCATTATAAAATACTATCAGTATATAATAAAAAGCAATTTAAAATGTTAAGTTTAGACAAAACTGAAAGTCATTCTTTTAATATAACTTATTTTTCCTTTTTCTAATTTAAACAGCTTTCAACTTAGAGACTTGCAGACTCATGATCTCAATGCTGGATGTATCCTTTACTATGAAATGTAAGCATTTTTGCATTACGTAAGCAAAGATGAGAGGATGCCCAAAATTTGGGAAATGCTTTGTAATTCCCATTCAGCTCTTACTTGGTAACTATTATGATCATTATAACTGGGGAACTACAAAATTTTGTTCTTACTCATTTTACTGGATGAAATAATAATTCTAATAAATGAGGCTCTCGATGACTGATCTTCTCACAACAAGTGGTATCCCTCTAAGCCTAGGGGTCTGTTTCTCCATTGAATGGATGAAGAGTCAGGTCTGGCAGCCCCAAATAGTTTTCTGCAAATCGCTTGTTGTGCTTTTGAAATTGGACAACTTTGTAGATGTCCTTCCTAACGAACTGAGCATTTGTACTGCACAGCCTGAATACAATCTAAGTCCCCCTAAATCCCGTTCCTTGAATGAACCAGGTTCGAGCATCTAATGAGATGGTATACGGCATTCAGCAGTAGGACCTATGGAAGACTTAGGTATACTGTGCAAGGCTGGAATCTTTGGAGTTTTTTAGTCAAAACTTAAATTGTCATGTTCAAATGTTTTGCTCTTTAAAAAGAAAAGAGCAGAAATTAAACTGGAAGGGCTGCTAGCTCACCTTGAACAAACGGCTTAGAATGCAAGAGAGCTGATTGATAGTATTCTAACTTAAAGTAATTTTTCATTTGGCATCTATTTTTATTTCAGGTATGTATTTTATTGGTAACAATACACTGCGGCAGGTAAAAGAGAAGTGTATGAACTAAGTTAAATTCACAAAGAGCAAATAGCTTTATCAGGTTTCACTGAGAAGTAGGGAGAGCAACTTCTCTGACCTTTGGTTTTGGTCGGTAGTATTATCTCTGTGCTGTGGGATGCTGTAGTTAGTTTTCTACCAAAAAAAATAATAATAGTAAAATATTGTTAATATTGACCTTCAAGAAAGAGTTTTTAACTACAGATGATAAAAATACAGATTTCCATTGAAGAGAGGGCTCTTTTTAAATTTTTTAAGTTAAGAAATGTTTTTCTTAGCTTTGGAATCAGAGGGATATGTCTGGCACACTGGGATTTAATGAGTTTAAAGAACTCTGGGCTGTGGTCAATGGCTGGAAGCAACACTTCATAACTTTTGACAACGATAGAAGTGGTACAGTGGATCGTCAAGAACTGGAGAAAGCCTTGATGAATATGGGTAAGTTGTGAAATGTTCTTGCTTCTAACACTGACTTACAGCACTTCCCGGTACCAGTTATCATCCCGCAGTAACCGACACATGGTATTTCCAATTAAAAATGTGTTGGATTCTGTTAACTTACCTGTCTTTTCAGGATAGACTTTTTATTTTCAAATAGGATTTAGACTGAGCCCACAGGCAGTGACTGCAATCACAAGGCGATACAGCACTCGTGGAAAGATTACATTTGATGATTACATTGCCTGCTGTGTGAAACTCAGAGCTCTCACTGGTATGCTGGATTATACCCTTGTTATTATCATCCCTATAATACATTTTTATTTAAGAAAATATGATTATTCAGTTATCTCAAGTTCAACTTTAACGTTTATGTAACACAAAATAGGTTTCTTTCAATAGAGTTTACAGGCAGAACTGGAACAATTATAGATTATGATTTTTTAAATCCCCATTGAAAAATGGACTTAAAACTAATGCAGGGTTTATTCCAGAGACTGGAAGAGTTATGTCAATAAAATTGGGAAACTGTATTTATCAGCAGAACATAAAGGGTTGTATATAATAAATATGAAAATGAAGAACAGGAAATTAAGTCTTGGAATGAATTGCAGTGTTTTTCATGAGTTCTCATTCATGTGACTTGGGGAATTTAATGAAAGTGCAGTGCCTTTTAAAAAAAATTATTAACTGTAATTCTTCTTACCTGGTTTCTGTTTTGTTTTCTTAATGCATTTTTGCAGAATGTTTTAGAAGAAGGGATACATCTCAGCAGGGTTTTGTGAACTTCCAGTATGATGATGTAAGTGAACTTTAAGGAATTAGTTAAAGTTACAGGGTAAAACTAAAGAAAAACGTAAAACTGAAGACAAACAGTAATGATTTGAGTTTGTGCCTGTATTCCTTACGCTTACGGTGCTGCCTGAGAGCACACAGGTTCTGGGTTTTGTTGAGTATTGCCTCAAGAAGTTTTCAGATATTTTAGAGAGTTCTGTGAAATGTTGTTGTACATTTTTGTCTGGACTTCTTACCAGTGTGGTTCAAGATCTAAGAGGCTACGTTGCTTGCTAACATCACTTTCTGTGACTTTTTTTTCTTCTTTTTTTTTAAGGCTTGGTAGGCATTTTTCCCTGGAAAGGCTGAGGGAGGTGTGGTGGGGACAGACACAAATCACACGCAGTCAGGCTTGTAGGTCTTGGCTTCCTGGCTGCATCTGTGCAGGAAAAGGAGAACACTAGGTTCAAGTATTGCTGGGTTTTTCATTGTTATAATTCAGGAGATGCTTTGTTTTAATTAACTATTAGCTAATTTCCATGTTTAGTTTCAAAGCTTTGTTGTTCATGGACTGAATTTGTTTACAGAAAAGGGTAGTGACAATGAGTATTTTAGGAGAAAGTGAAAACTTGTTCTCTACCATACATCTAATAAGTGGTTATTCTTTTTTTCAGTTCATACAGTGTGTTATGAGCATCTAAATCAAAAGGAAGCAAGCCGTGGATGATCACGATTAACATTCCAGTTTGTGTTTGCTTTGCCAAATCTTCCAATGATTGTGTACCTCAATATTGGAAATTGCATATTTTATGAAGGTATCACTTTACACACTTGCATTTTTTTTAGTTTTGACAATGACTATAAACTACTCATGTACTGTCGTCTTTAACTTTTAACCTGTGACTAAAATTTTCATAAACTTGCAATTCACTATGTGTAACTCAAATTATGCATAGTAAGTTTTTCTGTAGTGTGTTTACTTTTTTCCTGTGATTCACTAAAAGCAGTTCCAGGAGTGCAGCTTACCTTTTTCTGTCTTAAACAGTATCATGTGTATGACCTAAGATGATACATATTCTTTTGTCTTGGACGGCATAAGACACATGTACAAACTGAAAGTGCTTTTGGAATGATCATTTTACGCTGGTCTGTTAGAACATCAGTCAGTTTAAGTTCCTTGAGAGCTAGCTTTTTTCAAGATGAAGTCTGTGACACCGTACACCGAGTGTAGACTACTTGTTAGACCTTCAGGGATGCGACAAAACATAGCGGAGAACTCTTCTAGCAGTGTGCTCTTGTACGGGGGGGCTTTTGTTCCAGTAAGATTCTTGCTCTGTTTGTGTACTATATAAAACACTTTTAAACATACAAACACTAGGCTGTGTCAGTTTATATGTTAACTTTCCCTTTAACAATGAACTTCTAAGCTGCCAGACTTCAGTTACATGTAAATTAATGTTTCTATCATCTCCTCCACTTTACACCCTAACAAGTAGCCTTTCCTGCCTCCATATGCCAACCAACATACAAGGGCCAAACCCCACTTTGAAAAATTCTTGCCAGATTACTGTTTCAGATCACGGCAGTACTTACCAGTGCTGTAGAATTTACATGAAAGCAGATACAGAAAGGCAAGACTTTTTTTACCTGAGATTTTTCAGGGAAAAAAAGGGGGTTTTGTTGTTGGGAGTTTTGGGGTTTATTGTTTGTTTGGGGTTTTTTTGAGGGGCATATTGACATTGTATGGAAGAGGGAGCAACATAACTGTATGGAGGTAGTTCAGGCTTTTTGCCAACGAAATAAGTTAATGAAACTTTTGTGAATTTTGGTCAGTTCTGCCTACCACAGGGGAGTGATAGATGTTCTTTCGCTAGCCTTGTAAACGCAGAGAATGCCAGAAGAATGTTAAAAGGAGTGTATTTCCTATATTAGTGGTTTAGAGCACTTTTGTGGAGGAGTCTGCGCTGAGGAATGAAAGCAAAACTATACATGCACGTGTATATATATAGATACATGTGTATATGTCACTGGACAAAGAACAGAAATAATCCTCAGAGCAGAAATCTTGCTTGAAGATACTACTTTATACCCTAGCTGGCTAAGAATACTGTAAAATCTAGGTCTCTAGTTTCTGGGCTACAAATTCAAAGCTGGCTGGTCTCACCTAAAGAAGCAACTGGTACTTACTACTTAAATTCAGAATCCTTTGGCTATTGCTTCTAGTTTCATTTCAGAAGCTAGTTCTCTTTCTGCCATCAAAGATGAATTTAAAGGCATAGAGCTGATGATACTTCCACATTTTGATAACTGTACACTGTCCTGTTGCACATAAACTTGGGAAACAGACAAGGAATTCTACAGAAAGCATTTCTGACATGACCAAAGTCCATAAAGGTTTGTCTGACTGAAGTAGCCAACATCAGTTATGCTGTAGGTCAAAACTGTGACAGCTGATGAAGTTAGTAAACTGAGTATGAGGCAAAGGCTGTTCTTCTTGTGGGGTTTTGATTAGACCATTTTGCATAAATACAATACTCATCCTTACACTGTTAATTTTACCCCAGAAAGGATGAGACATCTTTACCAAAGTGCTTATTACCCACACAACATTTCTCTCATACTTTTATTTTAATAATTTTTTAAATTTTCTTTATAGCAGTTGGTAGGGTGCTGTGTTCTAGATTTGTGACTAAAACAGCCTTGGTAACACGCCAGTGTTGCAGCTGTTGCTGAGCAGTGCTTGCACAGTATCAAGGTCGTCTCTGTTTCTCGCTCTGCGACCCCGGTGAGTAGGCTGAGGGTGGGCAAGAGGCCAGGAGGGAGCGCAGCGGGGACGGCTGACCCGAATGGACCAAAGGGATATTCCATGCCACAGAATGGCATGCTCAGCGCTAAACCTTGGGCGGGGGTGCAGAAGTCTCTCCAAAGTAGCCATTGCTCAGGGACTGACCGGGCACTGGTCTGCTGGTGGGAGGTGGTGAGTCATTGCCTTTGCATGGCTTTTTTCCCCCCCCACTTCTTTTCCTTCACTTACTAAGCTGTTTTACCTTGATCTGCAATTTTTTTTTTGCTTTTGCTCTTCCAATTCTCCACCTACCACAGGCCTGAAACTACTAATGAAAGAAAACATCAGGCAATAATGAATATAACATTCTTGTAGATAAGTGTAACTTACTAAATGATCCGAGACCCCCTGGAAGTTCCACACTCCTATACAGGTATGAAGTTATGTAATAAATCATGAGAATTATTGGTGAAATAATATGTGGAAGTAAAATTGCACCTACAAATAAAAGCTTGGCTTGAAAAATGTGTTCAGCTTATTTTGCATACTTGGGTTTGGGGGGGGGGGGGGGGGGGAAT